GATATTCCTATCTGTCTGTGCCCATGGCAGACATTATTAGTCAATCACTGAAATTTTTCTACCCAAATTAGGAAGCTGCTTCTGAATTCTTTTCAGCAAAACCTTGTAGGCAGCCACTACCCATCAATTAGAGTTAGCAACCAAAGTAAAACATACTTGCCATCTTTGAGACAGAGTATCTCTAAGGGGTCTTTTAATTCCAGTATTACTCAAAGGTCAAAGTGAGAGTCTGCGCCAGAAAGAGGTATGTTGGCATATCTTACTTCCCTTCTTCACATTCCAGCCTCTGAGTGTCAAAGACCTAGCAAGGCCTGTCCATGAGGATAGTCTGCTCTTACATTGCTGCATTTTGCCTTTTATTTGTCCAAAATGAAAACAGGTTAGTGGATTTCCCCCCAACTCTGAAAATACATACTGTAAATCTTTGAACAATCAACAAAAGTACAAAGATGAAAGTGAGAAGTATCTGATATTCAAAATCCATTATTAATATTTGGTAACCAGTCTTGCAGTCATAGCTCTAGGTGTGTTTTTCTGTACTCTAATTTCCCCATACAGCGTTATATATGAACAACTTTGCACATCACTTGGATCCTGCAGTTCCCTATGTACTCGTAACATTCCATCTTTATCTGGGGCCTCCCTATTCTGCAGAGCTAAACTTTGCAAATATAGCAGCAGATTGAAAGAGCAAAGGATCTTTAGACCCTTACTACAACTACACTTAAAGATGTGGTCAAATTCTCCAGGCTCCTCTCTAGTAAACACAGAATGGAAACATTTGTAAATCTTGTGGTTAAAATTCAATTTGAAAATGAAATGGACCCAATGTCTTGGGAGAAAAGCAAATGTTCCTCCTTTACCCCTGTACCCTAAAACCACTTTTTTTTTCTGCTTATTACTCTAAAAGTAATATATGTTTATTTAGGAAAATACAGGCAGGCAAAAATGAGAAAAAATAAAAAGCATTTGTAATTAATCAGAATAATTGTGGTTAACATTTTGAAATGTGTATGTTTGTCTTTTTTTCCTATGCATGTATTTTTATGTAGGTATCAACATGCATAATTCAAAAGCACTCTTTTAAACTTCCAGGTTTTTCTCTTTACACACTGCATTGCAGTTCCTGCAGAGAACTCATTCTACTGTGAGCAGGAAACTACACGAGTTAACACCGGCTTTGGTAACACACAGCTTTGTGTCAGTAGTTTGCACAGGGAGGTGTGCTCACCGAGGAACCAGTGTTATGGGTGTGTTTTTAAACTAATACGCCTATCATTTTGAACACTACTGTACTGGAGTTTAGTTTATCCACTGGGCGTGATGCTCCTGAAGTTCAAATTCCCTCAGCAGATATTCAGCAAGGATGTTACATAACTGGTATAAATGAGGTCATGTTAGGGCCAAAATCTCTGTATGCATTTATACCTCAATCTACTTAACTGATGGAATATCTGTGTTCCTTAAGTGTATCTGCATAAAGAGAGTATCTCACCATCATCTGTCTAATGGTGTGATACTGATACATACTGTGATGAGGTGATTTACTTTGCATGTAGCAGTGAAGAAGGTATAACAGGAAAAATACCTTCTTCATTCACAGGGAGGTCAATTGCTCCTGAGGGTTTGAGACTCTTATTAAACTGCAAAGGAGAAACCTTGTCTTTGATATTCAGTATATGCTGTTTGGTTATCTATTGCTATGAAACAGACCACCCCAAAATGTAGTGGCTAAAAACAATTTATTATAATCTCTCACAATTCTTTGGGCTGACTGGGCTCACCCAGGCAATCTTCTGTGGGTCTTGCTTAGAGTCTCTCATATATGGTTGCAGTCAGATAGCAGCTGCGGCTGAGGTCTCCTGAGGTTCAACTGGGTGGCTAGAAGATCTAGTCTGGTTTCTTCACTCACATGTCTGGTGCCTTGGTTCACATAGCTGCTCTTTCCACTTGAAGTCTCATCCCCCAGGGCTTTTTCCCACAGCCTCTCTTCCCACAAAGATAGTCAGACTTCTTACATGATGGCTGGCTTCTAAGATTGTAAAATTAAAAGCTGTCAGGCCCTTTTAAAGCTTAGGTGGGGACTTGGCCTAGTGTCACTTCCAGCCTCCTGTAAGTTACAGCAAGTCTCAGGGCCAGCCTTGATGCAATGTGGGGACTACACAAGCAGAGCAACACGTCAGGAGGGCTAGTTCATTCAGTGCCATCTAGGGAAACTAGCTACTGGATCTGCTCCAATTTAGAATTTTAACAATAATGCCAAGGGAGTTTGGATACTTTCTTGGTGAAACATGGAGTTCAATGAAAAGGAGTAAGCAGAGGCAAGAAGCCTCAAGGTGATGGAGGACTTTGAAAACAGTAGGTACTTTCTTGGGTCTTGCAAATTTGGCAGATGAGATCACGGAGAAGGTGAAATAAATGGGTCATTGCATCACTATTATCCAAACTTTGCATACTTGCAAGGCTTACCTGATGATGCTTGTTTTTTACGACAAATCCGGAACTAAGTACTACAACCTGGTCACACATCTGAAGCTACCTGGAGGGTTCTCTTTCTAAGGATGGCAAAGAACTCAGATATAAATAGAAACATACACAGGTTAGTAGAATGTGAAGCCAATTGAGGGGGAAAATAAAATAGCAAGGAGAGCCTGACAGTAAAATAACTCCCATGGCAACAGGACAAGAAGGAAAAATCAGCATCCTGGAACTTCTCAGTGCATACTAACGGCGCCTTCATGGCACTATATTTAAGTTTAGAGGGCAAGGCCTAGTTTCTCACATGGATATGATCTTGCATCAGAGCTCTGCAAAGACCTGGAACCTCATTGATGTGGGTGGTCCGAGACTGGGGTTCCCTCCTCTTGTGCTGAATCACCATTTAATGCCAAACAGCTTTTTCTTAGCTGTTTGCTTAATTTTTCTTAAACATGTTCAGACTCTTATCATATTGTCCTCCTCCCTTTGAAAATATGTACTCTGCAGGTGCCTGAAATAATATACTCCCAGTAATTGCAGTTTTGCAAAAGTAAAGTTTATTTTATTCAGTCTAAACTCAACGGGAATTGGCTGCCCAACAAGGAAATAGCAAATTTTATAAATCCCTGGAAGGCAGCCATCATATCCTGTATGACTTTGTTATCGCCTGCCTCCTGGGTTCACTGTCTACCTTCTCCATATACTAATTTTAATAAGTAACTTGAATTGTTAACAACATACTCTGGTGCCATTCTTTGACACAGAAATGTCATAATGTCTCTGCATGTTCCATGTCAGGTTCACCGTAAATCATTTCTCCTGAGTTTGTTGTTAGTGTGCAGATCATTTTGCAAGCTTCTCACTTAACAGTTGAAAGTTTAATTCAAATTGAAGAAACTTACTTCAATTACAAGCAATTAATTTAGGCTTCACTTACCTTAAGAAATATTCAAACATATAAATCAACAGATAAATCCTGGGAGTGTCAAATTATGCAACCAGAAAAAGTAAGTTCTTTGCAGTTTTGGGGGCGTCGGTCTGCTGTAGTCAGGCTTTTATGGTTTTCTTTTTCTTTTTTTGGCGTCAGGTTTTTGAATGAAATAGTAAAACCAGTGCCAGGCACTGTCTACTCCACCTGGTTTTGCATAATTCTAAGAAGTCAGAAACTGAAAACCAGGCTTGTTAAAGAGCTAGAAAGAGTGCTATTGCATAAGAGAAAACAAAACAAAACCATTTCTCTATTCTTTTTAAAATCATAAGATTTCACAATATTCCTGTTTTCAAGTACTTGAAGTTTGCTCTGGGCACTGATTACTTTTTAAATAATTTCTTTTAATGTGCAGTGAATAATACACATTCATTGTAGATTTAAAACATACTTAAAGTAACAGAGAAAAAAATCATTCAAGGTCCTGCAACTATTAATATTACTAGTAATATTTTGAAGAACGACTTTTTTCCCCTCTAGGTACATGTTTTCACAGAACGGGTCCACGCTACACAGTTTTATAACTTGTTTTTTCGCGTTTTTATTTTTAAAATCGTGTCTTGAGTACGTGAAAACTTCTAGAGGTTATGACACGTTTGTAGTATCGAACGGGGTTAAAAATCGCCATCTATGGTGTGGCATGTGCACTCTGGTGGGAAGAGAACGCTCCCGGTGGGCAACATCGACCACTCTCCGATCCAAAGAGACGTCTCCGTTTGCCCTCGGCGACTGAAGCCTGGCGAGAGTGCAAGGCGTGGGAGTTAAGTGGAGGGCGATCAGGGTGACTGCGAGCACGAGCTCCCCGCGCGGTCCACTTTCCCCCCGGGCCAGTCCCACTGGCCCCAGCCCCGGAGCGAGAGGGCAGCTCGCGGTGCGCTGGGCCCGGGTCCCGGCTTCCGGCCCCCACCCTGGGGCTGGCGCCACTCTCGGGCGGTGGGGAGAGAGAAAGCCGGGCAAGGTTCTGCAAATCCAAAGCGGGGAGGCGCAGCTCCGATACCAGCGCCTTTGCCGGGTCTCCAGGCGTGTTTCAACTGTTTCAACTGTTTCAAAGCACCCGAACCCCAGCGACCTTCGGCAAACAACTCTTAATCCCGCGGGCGGGGAGCAACGGCTGCATTCGCCGGAAGAGCAAAGGGAGAGCGGAGACCGGGGAGCTACGGGGGCCCTCCTCCCGCACTCTGCCCGCCCGCAGCCGCCCCCTGGGACCCCCGCCCGCAACTCTTTCCAGCCCCAGGACGGCCAACTTCTTGCGTCAGCCCCGGCGAGGGTGGGGGATTTTCGGAAGCCCTGCCCGCGCGGCCGGCTGGGGAAGGAAGGGCCCGGGCTCTTGCCCCGCCTTCGGGGGGCGGGGGGCGGGAGGCGGAGCGGGGCGAGAGCCGGGTCGGCGACTCCGGCCAAGTCAGGGAGAAGCGAGTTCCTAGGATCCTCAAAGAGCTACCGCCGCCGCCACCACTACCGCCGTGTCCGCACCAAGCCTCGGCAGCCGGAACAGGGCAGCCGTCGGGGAGCCTCAAAGCACCGTCCCCAGTTCAGCATGATGGACTTGGAGCTGCCGCCGCCGGGACTGCCGTCCCAGCAGGTGGTGCCAGGACGGGAGCAGGAGCGCGAGGGAGCCGCGGCCCGGGAGGGACATCCGCATCGGCCTTTACCCGTCTGTGGCCGGAGCTCGGACTGCAGCGGCCGCGCGCACGCCGGAGCCGCCGCGCTAGAGCTGGGGCCCGGGGCGGGGGGAGTGGCGACCCGAAGGGTTGCGAGGGGTCTGGGGGCGCGGCCGAGTAGTGTGACTGACAACGCGCCCGCAGCCCCCGAGGGCGATAGGGTTTGGGGATGGGGGGCTACATCAGCGCGCGTGTGAGCGAAGGGCGTCTCTAACCGGGTCCCCGGCCGCCGGAGCTGAGACGCTGGAGCCGCGGCCGGCCCCCTTTTCCGAGTTTGAGCGTCCGGGAGGCAAGCGGGCAGGAGAGGGCGGACGCTGGCGGTCTGAGCCGGCGCGGCCCGGCCCTTCCGGGGCTGCGCGGCTCCCCCGCCTTGGAGCCGGCAAAAATGTGCCTAGTCACGGGGCCGCTCTCGGGGGAACTGAGGTCTCCGGGCTGGGACCCGGAACCCCTCCTCTGCCGCTGCCCCTCTGTCCACGATCTCCGCGGGCGCGAGCCGCGGCGCTCTTACCCCACCTAGGCAGAGTGATCGATCAGTCCAGCCTTGCTATCTCCCTTAGGCCACTTGGCGAAAATGCCCAGCTCCCAGGGTGGGGGCAGGAGGAGGTCACCAAGTGCCCAGCGCACTCGGTTTCCCCGACGTACGGCGATCGAACCCTGCCCTGCGCGCCGCCTCGCCCCGAGGGAAAGGTTCGGGCTCGTAGAACTCTGAGTCGGCCCCGAGCAAGAAGCCGGCCTGGACGGGCGGGGCGGTGGACTCTGAAGTCCGACGCGGCTGCGCCCCCCGCCCCCACCCCAGCTCCCCGCGGCTTCTCGGTCCAGGCGCGGTGCCTCCCGCTGGCGCACGCCGCGAGCGTGGGTCCCGGCGCCGTGACAGTGGCCGGTTGGTTGTCACGGCGGCCCTCAGTGGGCCCTTTCCTGCTTTGTAGCGTGCAAACCTTGCGGCGCCGGGGCCGAGGGACAAGTTGGAGCTGTCGATTTGTTGCGCAATTGTTATTTCCCCCAGAGCGGCTTTGTCTTTGGGTTTAGCGTTTCGGAATTGCAGTTCCAAAATGTGTAAGGCAGGATATTCTGTTCTCTGCTGTCGAGGGTAAGAATTTCGAGTGTAGATTAGCATTTGTGTTGTTTTTAGGCTGTTACTGAATGTTGTGCTTTCATGCATTGTTTCTCTTTTGGGTGCTTTATGTAGTTTTCCTTTTCTGTTTGAGAATTTGCCTCAATTGCTTTGCTACTGTGTTGCTTCTTTTGAGAGGGCAGAGGGTGGGACAGCTGTGTCTCATAAAGCTTTGCTAACAAGTTCTGTAAACGTCGCAAATGTGAAAACAAGTTTCTGTATCTATTTTGTAGGGACTTTTTAAAGGAGTAGCTAGTTTTATTTCCAATTTGTGTGTAGTAGCTAGTTTTATTTCCAATTTGTGTGTGTGACTGGGTTCTTTGGAAAAGATACTTAGTTCAAGGAAATGTGTAACCTGATAGGAACGGTAAATATATTTATGCTCTTAAACATCAAGTTTTAGACTAATCCTGAGGTAAGGTTTTGAGTTATTGACGATGTACTGATTGTGCCTTTTTTCCCCTTTGAAGCAGTTTGTCTTGAACTTTCCCCAGTAATGATTAAGATTGTATTCCTTCCTCCCCACGATATGAAGAAGTAAATTGTGCTTTCCGATTTAGCTGCTGTTCAATCCCTATAGCCATTTCTTTAATAATCTGTATGACCAAAGGATATATGATGCTAAGGGACTTTAGTTTTCCTAGATTCAGGAGTGTAGCCTAGAGTGTGTTATATTACTGAAGTTTTTTTTTTTTCTTAACTACATAATTTAACATTATGTATACAAAAGTGGGGTAAAGCATCTTTACTGCTTTTTCTTTTAAATGTGAACTTTCCAATTATGTTTTTTAAGGTAACTCCCTTTCCACCCTTTGTAATCAGACCTCAGTTTGCATATGTGAAGACTATAAAAGAAAATGGAATAAAATTTAGAGTTAATGTCATGTCTGTAACTAAGATTCATATTAAATCTTTGTAGTCCAAGGAGATTTGGACAGAGTCATAAGTGAATTCTAACCTTTTGTCAAAGAAACACCAGGTGACAGGTGGTACAAGGGTAAAATTCTTCCCCCTTTGTGCAGAGGAGGTGTTGATGAAGAACAGTAGAGTTTTACATTCTGAATTTTCATTAGCTGGAAGGAACCATCCATTACCCTTTTGAAAGCTGTCTTGGAGAAAGTATTTTTGCATATGAGGAATGAAGTTGATCTTGGACTAGATAAGGTAACTTTTAAAGAAAAATGGGGCATCCCTCTCAGCTCCAGAAGGTTGAGCAAAGAACAACTTGACTTTTTAGATATTTGGAAAAAAACCTCTTGAGAGATTGTTAAAGATTGTAGGAGGATGAAAACGTAACTCACATCAGTCTTTCTGCATTAAAAGTAACTTGGGTCATTTTGGACTCTTTCTTGTCAACTTGGGTTTTTATAGACAGTGCTGGGAGGGGAAACCCCAAAATCTGACTTTCTTTAGGATAACCAGGAGGAATTGAAAGCCAAATACATTATTTGTCTTTATTTTTATTCAGGATGAATTATACTTACAGAGCTTTATGAGAAAAGGAAACCTCTGTGGGCTAGAAGCACTTTTTTTCCCCTGGGAATTTCCTCTCTACTGGTGGAACACATTTAAAGGGGGTTTTGCATAAATAATATTTCCTCTTTGACTTTTCCTTGATCTGGGGTTAACTCGTCAGTGCAAACTCTTGGATTCAGGAGGAGTTTGGCACTAAGATAATCGAAGATGAGTTATTGGACACTTGTGTGCCAGGCAGTATGATAATTGCTTCACATGCATAATTTCACAGTCACCCTGTAGGAAATACCGTCTCCAGTTTCTAGGTGAGGAAAAAGGCGTAAAGCAGCCTGGGTCCTGGTTAGAGTGACTCAACTATTGAGTGGCAGAGGTGGGATTCAAACCCTGGTAGAAAGACCCCACTTCTGAAGTGGACCAAGACTAGTTAACTTTAAACAGAAGGAAACTTACACTTGAAAAAATGGACAAATCGAGAAAAACTACAAGAAGGACAGGTAGGAATTTAAAAGATTAATCTTTGCACTTTTTCCAGTTACCAAGAAATTTAATAATTGTGTTTGTGAGGGGTGAAGTCGACCCTGAATACAGTAAATGTAAATACAACCTGTCATTGGACCTACCATGGGAAACTTTTAAGGAAGACTAAGAGACTAGTGGGGTTTAATTTAGAGAGGCAGGACCATTTCTTAATTTAATAATAGTTTTTAAAATTTCTGATATTTCAGCAGTATCTGAGATTCTGCCTTACATTTTTCAGGGACTGTTTTTATTAAATCTCTTAGCTCCTGGTGACTTTAATTTTATTTGCCTTGTTAGTTGGTACATTCTCCTGTTCCACTGGCTCTTTTTATTTGGAAACAGTCGTCAAAAATAAGTTTGGTAGTGAAGATGTTTGGTAGTGAATATGGTGAAGAGTGGGACAGAGGGTTAAACCTGGTTGAAGGAAACTGGAGAGAATGGGGAGAAGTTGAGTTGAAAACAACTAGTGGAAACCTATTGGTTCAAATTAAACACTAATCTCCTGTTTTGGCATTTCTGAATTGAAGCAGGCATAAGGGCTCAAGTCTGTCTACTTGAAGCTTTCCTGGGGTTTTGTGAATAGTACATTTCAAAATTAAATACTTTATTTCTTAGTCCTTATCTTTAAACAGATTGTTCTTGGAATTATTATTGTCTTGTTTGTCTGAGTTAAGGATGCTGCAGGGTTTTTAGGATTCAGTGGATAATTTGCCTAAAAATTAATCTGCCAACTCCCAGTACATTTCAAAGCCTGGCCCGGCCACTTCTGAGAGTTTGCTGGAATCTGTTGCTGCACAGCACGGTTGTCGTTCTTTAGTTGCTAAGCTGTGTCTGACTTTGTGACCCCATGGACTGTAGCCCAGCGGGGTCCTCTGTCCATGGGATTTCCCAGGCAAGAATACTGAAGTGGGTTGCCATTTCCTTCTCCAAGGGATCTTCTTGATCCAGGGATCGAACCCCTGTCTCCTGCATTGGCAGGCACCTTCTTTCCCACTGAGCCACCGGGGAAGCCCACACAACACAGCAGGGTATAGGAGGATAAATGTGCTAAAGGCGATATTCAACCAGCTTCCTTCACCAGTGGCTGTATGTTTAGGTTTACTGGAGAATGGAGAAAGAGTTTACATTTTGGTAATAAGACCTCTGTGAGTTTTAAAAATGTAATTACCAGCTGCTTTTAAATATGCCCTAACAGACATTTATTAAAGGGGCTCTAAGATACAGACCAAGGCTTCTTTCATTGATAATGGTATGTTTTCTGGAAATGAAAGCAAAAAATACATTCAAGTGTATAACATTCCCCAAAAGCATTATTGGAAAAATACAAGTGTTCTTACACTAACTTTCCCTGCCAAGACAAAGCAAGATTGCTAAACAAAATCCTGTCTTGCCTAAAGTTGGGGTTTTCTCTGTGTCAGCCCCTGCCACAGTAAACACTTTTTAACTATTGTTATGAAGAATTTTAGGAACACTGAGGGTTGGAAGCACTTTTTGTTAAATTGGAGTATAATTGCTTTACAATATTGTGTTAGTTTCTGCTGTACAGCAGTGTGAATCAGCTGTAAGTATACATGTGCCCCTTCCCTCCTGGGCCTCCCTCCCGTCTCACCCCAGGTCTTCCCAGAGTGCCGTGCTGAGCTTCCTGGCATATGTCCTATGACACCTTCAGAGCCTTAGAAAATCTTTCTCTGTGCGTGAGCATTTAAGTTTATTTGGCCCAAACTGTGGTAGAAATGAAGACAAAGCCAGGGCATAAGAGATACTTAGAGTACCAAATCCATCCTTCAAAGAGCTTGTTGATAATTGAAAGTCACT